TGCACGACCTCTATCCAAGCCATCGACAACTTCACCAATGAGATCTGCCACTGCACCCAATGTGGACCTATTACTTCGAAACCCATACTGAACCGTAGACAGCAACCGCTTTGACTCAAAGTAATTAATAAGTTTGCTTTTTACCATCATTTCAAACAATTTAGATATGACAGGGACTATGGCAATGGGTCTATAATTATCAGGTTCCTCTTTATCATCCTTCTTAAACACGGGTGTTACTTTTGTGATCTTGAAATCATCGGGCCAACAGCCTTCTGATATACATTTATTAAATAATAAAGTAAGAGGAGAAGTGATATATGGTAGAACAGATTTAAGAATTTTGCTATTCATATTATAATAGTCAATGCTAGGTGAATCCTTTAAAAGTTTAATAGCTGCAATCACATCTACCTCAAGGATGGGCGACATAAAAAATGAGGATGCCGGCTTTACAATCTNCAAACTGTAGAGGTCCACTGCAGGTTGGTCAGCCCGGCTCCGGCATATCCTTGTGTCGAGGTTTAGATAAAGGTTGTGTTTGTTATAGTAAAATAATTGCGTTGTTTTGCGTGCATAGGTGCGTAAGAAATTTGATAAAATAATAAAAAGAAAAAAAAGAAATGGATTTGGCCCAGTTAGTTAAAAAGAGAGGTACCTGTAAAGCTAAATTGACTTTATTCCCAAAATTTGTTGCTAGTCTAAATGCTACAAATGAATCAGGTGAAGTAAATTGAATAGAGTTAGAGGAAAGGATTACAGCTGTAGAAGATTGTAAAGTAAATTTTAATCAGTTTCAATCGGAATTAGAGGAATGTACTGACGATCCTAATGAGTTGGGAAACTACCTAAAAGAAAGAGAGTTATTTCTGAATAGCTATTTTTCAAATATAGCGTTGGCATGAAAAATGGTAAATGATCATGATCGATTCCCCAAGTCCCTCCTTCTCAAAATACTCTTCGTCTGTCACAAGTCAGCACAAATTCACAGGCGACAAAAAAAATTTGTTTGTTTTAGAGACGTGACCGTGATCATTAGTAAAATTTTCGCTTAAGTAATTTTAAGCTAGATAGTATTTTCTAAAATGTTTTAGCATTTTAATTCAGCAATCAATCAAAATGTGATTTCAAGCCCTGGGGCCACGTTAAGGCGTCTACCAAACCATGATAAATAATAACATGGATTTTGGTACGACATCGGCGCCTTTTTGTATTATTCGGTGCATTTTTCAATTGGCGATGAAAATAATGTTAAACAGCCAGAGTTAGCTCGCATTATCAAATTCGACTTCTACGTTGACGACCTATTGACCCGCGCCGATACTGTAGACGATACCGCGAACATTTGCAAGGGTGTAGTAACGGACAGGGTTGTTTTGAGTTGAGAAAATTTTAGTTAAATGACAGAGGGGGTTCTCAATGACAAACGTTAAGATAAAAAGGTGATTGAGTTTGGGGAACAAGAAAATGCAAAAACGTTAGGCATTATGTGTGTGAAATAACGAAACTAGTAATACTAAAAATGAGGATGCCGGCTTTACAATCTTATTTAGATAGTAGGTTGAATTATTATTAGCAAGCTCGATAGATGTGATTAGAGTTTCGGATATATTAACAAAGAAACGATTGAATTCTTCAGGCGAAATAGAACACTGGGCAGGCTTAGATTTGTTAACACGTTCAGAGTTTACAATATTCCAACAAGTTTTCGATCTGTTTCAAGAATTAGAAATAACCTTGGAAAACGATTTCCTCTTTTCCTCCCTCATTTCGCGATTATACAAATTACGTGCAATTTTGTAAGTTAGCCAGTCTTGTTCTACTTTAGACTCCAAAGCTAGCTGTTTTAGATGAAAAACATTTTGTTTCATATCACGCAATCGGCTGGTGTACCATTTGACACCAAACCCACTACGCCTCTTGACTTTACGAAAAGGAAAACACAAATTAATATTTGATTTCAAACAGTCTAAAATGGAGGTGGCAACGCCGTTGCTGTCCAGTTGATCAAAGCTCGAGCAGCCCCAATCCACACCAGACAAGTTGCTATGAAATTTTTTTAATCCTTTTTGAGTAATGAGCCTTTGACATTCGGTGACTTTATGGACATCACTTAACCGTGTAACTCGTATAGTGACATATTGTGAGCAGTGATCGGATAAATCCGGGTCAAAGTTTGAGACTTCCAATATGCCACCATCGATATTAGTCACATTAGTTTTCCCTGGAGGCGTAAACTCGACAAATAAGAACAACTTAAATCAAAATAATAATAAAAATATATTTACCAAGCAGCAGCGACTAAACAAGAAACAAAATTAACGTTACGTATTTACAACAATTGTATTACACTCGTCTTCTATTCATTGCAGTAGTTGTGGTCTTGTATCTGTTGGAGTAGAATAAACTTTACTTTTCAGATAACCCCAAACATAGAAGTCCAGGGGGTTTAGATATATCAATCTGGCTGGCTAAGACACTGAACCCTCTGCATTATTATGGTTGACATTGGCATTTAGTCTTCTACCTATCCATCGACTCAAATAATTTTAATTAAGCCATTCTTATATTATTCTCCCAGAATGCGCAGGAGCACCATCCATTGTATACAGCTTTAATGGAACATCCTCTAATAATTCAAACAGATGGTTTTCTATAATAGAAAAATGACTGGAAATTTAGACGGGTTTAGAAAGGTCCACAAACTTTATTGCGAATTATTCCGATCCACAGGTTCACAAAAAATTCGTGTTGACTTTTATGAGGATTTTCTTGTAACCAAATATGCAGGTTGTGAAAATTCACTACCCTTCGCCTTTGGTAAATGTACATTTATTATTATTTTGATTTAAGTTGTCCTTATTTGTAAAGATAGTGGGTTAGGCTTCCAGGGGAAATTAAAATGCGTAAGGAACTAAGGTGGTGTGGAAACAAGTGTAAATAATTTTGTTGATGTGCTTACAAATTGCACTTACTTTATACCATAAACATAAATATTCTTGTAATATTATGGGTAGAAATGTCTGCACAAGGGGACTGTATTGGTATGAATAACTTGAAAACGGCGAATCTTAGGGAAAAAATTCAAGTTACCTTTTTTACGTATTTTGCGCATTAGAATATAAATCCGTTACAATAACTTGTAGAAAATGCAGTGGCGTAGTTTTTTTTGTAAAAAAGGGTGACCCCTGTCCAGTTGTACACCGCTGGTTAAATCTTTAAAGGTCATAGTTTAGGGAATGTAAGGCCTACTATCATACATTATCTGTACCAAATTTTATTGAGATCGGTTAATAGATTCCAACTTCAACACCCTGTATCTCTAAAACGGGGCTGTTCCAGACCAATGTTTATAAGGCAAACACATTATTTTAAAGAGATCTATCTGCCCTAGAAGTTACCTGCATAAAATTCGGACCACCCTGTATAAAGTGATCCTTAAATGTCACATAGAATCCGAAAATGTAATAATATATAGGGTGTCCCATTTAAATAACGAAGTTGGTGTCAACTTCCGGTATAATCGGAAGTGCTGGAGAGTTCTAGATATTTTAGTTGTGTTCGCCCCAGGGACATAGCCATGTTACCAAATTTTCAAATTTTTCGGAGCAGTACTTTTCTAGATATCGATCGACGCAGTTCCCGGTGGGAGACCCTGTATATAACAAAACTCTTCATTTGTTGTACAACTTAAAAAACCACTCGCATAATAAAATTAACGTTTTATGTAAGTACCTACCTAATGAAATATAACTATAGCTACCTATCCCAAATTTTGATATTTAAATTTTGAAAATTACAAAGACCTAGCCAATAGGTACCTATATTGGCTTTAGGAATGCGTTCCTATTGACCTGAATCAGCTGTTCCCATCCACCTGCCAGTAACCAAAAAAGTGCATTAATTTAGCAAAACGTAATATTTTTATTATTGATGATTGTGGAAAAACATTTATAAGACTATTTGGGGGAATCCCCCTTAGTATGAGAAATGTGATTTGAGTAATTTCTACTTATGTTTTCCTATTCTTTGCCGAAGTTTTTATGGCAACGAAACCTGTTTTTTACCGTTAAACTTTAAAACTAGGCAACCAACCTAAAATTTATATTTTACTGCTCTCATTCACGCCATTTTGTAGCCAGATACTCATGGGCGTAGTTAGGGGGGGAGCAGAGGTGTGCACGGTACACCCCAGAGAGCCCGGTGCCCACCCCAGAAAAATATCTCATCTTTGTCATATCGGTAAGTCCGTGACTTCGCGTTTTTTTTAGAATCAAATTAAAACGTGTTCAAATTTGATATTTTAAATTGCTAATTGCGACTGGAGACTTTTTTTGTAGCTACGCCCATGCATGCAGATGCTTGAACTATAATTCTAATGGATTCTGCAGATTCAAGAAATTATTTAATGGAACAGGAATCTGTAAAGTTTTGTTGCTAGTCATCCCAAAACCCAAAATTCCGATTCACCCCGTTTTACGGTGCAATTCAAAAATTGTATAAATATCCAAATACTATAGTCTATAGTAGTAATAAGGACACAATGCTTACTTTGGAGGAGAGAACACAAAAATTGGTATTAAACAGTTGAACAGGTAGGTAATAAAAAAGACGGGAAAGTCCAAGAAATATCTGAAATTTAGAGGAATATTGAAAAGTGAATTTATTTCTCAACTAAAAACCCTGAAACACTGAAACATTAGTTTCAAATTTTTTATTTGACTGTAAATTAATTTTGTCTTAAAAATGTTTTCCTCCAATTCAGGAGGATTTCATAGACTGCTATACTTAGTGAAGAAGTAGGCGATATTTTGTGATACTTCTCTATCGATTTAGCGGTCGGCAATCCAAACCCAATAACAGCAAAATAAATGAATCATCATCTGTAAATCTAATCCCCCCGGTAATATTTCCCGTTGTAAATCGGACTTCTTCTATCTCCCCCACCCCGTGTATATAATCAAGAAGTCCTCTGCTAGGCGCAGTTTAGCTCAGCGCGTTCTTGCATTGTCGAGCCATCAATCGTAGTAGATGAGAGTGCGCGTTATACCGGAAGTAGGCAAGTTAGTATCGAACATTGTTGACCGGTCAGCAGTGTGCAAGTGGTTGAACAGTTTGCAAACTATCGAGAAGACGAAAAGAAAGGTTTCCCGAGGATATAGATAATATCTAGTTCTTTTAAAAACCTATTGATTTGTTATCCTCTTTCACTTGCTACAGGTAAGATTATTAGTATATATCTAAGCATTGCTTTTATGTATTTTTAGTACCTACTTCTACATTTCCTCAGATACCAATATCATTTATCTTTTTTTTGCCATATAATATCGAAACAAGTACTGTTTCTTCTGTATAGGTAATCACTGCTCGGTTGGTATCTATTTCTAATTATATCTAGAGATCGGCAACCGATTTCTTTTAAAAAATAAATACAACAATTATCCATTTCAATTGTCTATATTAGATATATAATTGAAAACCATTGAAATAAGGTAAGTATACCCTAAGTAGGTACTTAGTTATTTCATTTGCTCTTTTTAATATTTACTTGGTATTGATTTGAAAAAATATGTAATTTATATGAAAATGTCTACCGAATTGAACGAATGTACGCTAATCTTTATAAGAAAATATTTCTGTAAGTGGTAAGTGTTTTATTCACAATACGTTGCCGCCTGAAGAGAATCTAAAAAATGGGAGAATGAATGGCTATTGTTTTTATGCTAATTTATTTATTTCCCGTCTCAAGAAGTTAGTCTTCTTTTCCTGGGAGAGTTCCTAGACTAATTTGTGACTAAATAAACACAAAGAAAATAACAGTAGGTACTTAATATTAGTCAGTCAGAACTGAGAACTTTGTTTTGACTTCTTTGTTACTTTACGCTTTATTATCGGTCAGTATACTATCAAATATGTTCAAAGCGTTATAGATATTGTAACAAATTCAGTAACGGAACAAACGTCTAAAGGATTCAGTTTTATTTGAACTCCAATTATTGTTTCGCCTACTTACTTATAATATAAAAGTCCGTCAATATCAGTTTTTCCAAATATGTATTACGTATTAAGTTTATTTGGTACTTTGAAGTATTCTAGTATTAGATATAATATCAATTCCTACATTTTATTGAAGGTTTTCATTGACATATTTTTGGAATAAAATGGTGATTGGTGAAAGAGCATATGAAAATGATTATTAATATGAAATGTCTTTAAGGAGGCACCTGACAAAAAAAAAAAAGAAAAACGAGGATATTTCAATTGATATAGAACATCCAATGATATACGATACAACTGAAAGTGCCTGAACTGCCATTTAAGAATGTTTGAGTGGGTGGTGGCAGCCCTGCGCAGGGGATGACACCCATATGCGTATTGCATTCGTGTGGATCTTTCGGGGGCACTTTGTCAACCTCGTACGCATCTTATTTTAGGCAATTTCTATACATATTCAAACTACAACAAGAATATATTTGAAATAGGTACTTTAGATAATATGAAAATTATATTATTCATTGTCAAGAATTAATTATTATATCCACTTTATTTTGCGTGTAAGTTTTTGTCTGACCTTGCATGTCGTTTACCTTACTTTTTAGATAAAAACTAATTAATGCATGCATCAGTTTAATTGAGCTAAAAACGTTCATTTGTTCTCGTCGAATAGTTCCCAAACGATGTAGATTTTTATATTTAATAGAGATAAAATTTTCATACATGGCATTAAAATGTACATAAATACGTAAATATACAGTACTTCCTAATTAACATTGCATACTTAAGGATTCCATTTTAAATGAAAGCTTTGTGAAATTCTGCATATAATCGTATATATAGTTACCAAACAATGGAGGTTCTTTTATGCATCCCTAATAGCAAATTTCCTCTTACCAAGAATGTATCCGAGAACACCATTATTATTTCTACATACCGAAACGGTGAAAACGCCTAAAAGGAAATGTGAATGCAGAGAATCGCGAGCACATAACCTATTAACGGAGAAAGCAAGTTCAGGGTCGAACGACTCTAAATATGTTAAATTCGTCTTCAAAACAGAATCCGAAATAATTATATCTTGGCGTCTCAACTGTTTCTCATTCTCAGACCTCCAGGCTTTTTTTAAATTGTTGCTTTAAAACAACGCTGTTGCCGGGTAATAACATTAAACCTATTCTTTCTACTATGTAGGTATTTTACTACACTAATTCGAAAAATAAATAATTATTATTTATATTTTGATTTGCAGACATTCGACCAAAATATGCAATTAGGAAAACAATAATTGAAATATAGTCGATAAACCTATTTTTCAGAAGAAAACCTTTTTGCACAAAATGGTGCATAAGTACATTAGAAACATTTCGGGGATAGTCTTTTATTTGTTCAACTTCCTGTTTGACAACAAAATTCACTTCATCAGTACCTACTTATTTTTGACTAACCTCTAATTGGAGAAAGCTCTGGAAAACAATTGCTACCTATAAGATGGAATCACTGACATCAAATATTTATGCTATTTTTTTTGAAAAATACGTAATTATTGCATTTGTTTATAAAAAATTATTTAAACGAATGTACGGAAAAATTTTTAGCTAACGTTTTTAAAGTCACTTTCTAACATAACAACCGTGCCAACATTATTTTCCCTTAAGAAAATTATTTTGACCATTTTTAATTTTTTGTTAACTAAGAAAATTAATAAGTAAAGAGTTATAACTATTTAAGATGTCGTAATAAGGTGATCTCGTTAAGTATATATAGTTGTCAAAAGGTCTCCATGAAGCGAAATAATTTTAGTAGGTACCTTTTTTTAATTATCCGACTTGTGAACTCTAAAATTTTTAGTTAAATATTATCAATGGTCTATTTGTTGAAAAATCCATGAACAAATGTTTTTTTTATTCAAATCGTCCCTCTTATCACGCAGGGGCGTATAATCCAAGAAATGGATATACACATACGTCTCTACGTGATAATAGGGACGAAATGTAAATAATACGATAATTTTTTGAAATTTTTATATTAACATTTAATATAATTTTGTTTATGTCTTTAATATAAGGTCGGTTTCGCGGCGCAGTACGTGCATTGCTTTCGCCGCTAAAAGCTCTATTTTCAACATTAAATTAAAGATATAAATATGTACCTAATGACGATAGAGATTCGGAAGCTGGGACATTTTTATAGGAAATTTCCTCTTTTAGGATCTTTTTTTCAAATTGACGCTAACGTTTATATTTTTCGAGTTATTTGCAAAAAGCCGAACCCCTTTTCGATATATCGATGATAAAAAAAAGGGTGACTTTTCACTCGGCTGCCGATATCTCAATGAGAAATAATAATAATAATAATAAATAAGAAAATAAAACAAACGAAATTGAAACTGAGGAATCAGGCTGAGACCCTGGTCTTGATTAAGCCAGAAAAAAATTTTTCTGAACCCACGGGCAATTTTGAAAAAAAAAAAAATTGTAATATTTTTGCCTGGTATTATTTTTTTTGATTGCGCCGAGAGTAATGCTCAAAACTAGAATCTTAAAGCTTCAAGATGCTTTTTTTTCTCGATACGACCATTATTTAGACTTTAAAAAATCACAAAAAAATTAAAATTTTTCTGCTCCCTCAATTTTTTTTGCTGAGTTTAGAAAACAATCTTTGTAAAAAAACCTCCCTACTTTAATTTAAAGAACAAAATATGTATTTAATTTTACTTTTTTTTTAGTGACGATCAATGTTTAAAATTTAAAAATGAACTCCAAATACGTTTTCATACTCTCGAAAACCGTATAAAGCTTGAGTTAATCTTAAACTGCTTTAACTAAGTTTGAGGACTTATTAAATACACAATATACAACTTGTCTAATACACATGTTTTGAGTGGTGCACCTTGTATAACAACGGCGAAATAATAGTTAAATCGGGAATGTAGAATACTAGCAGTTACTAATCTCGGATATTAGTTGCTGATATTACAGTTGCCAAAAATGATTAGTCAACTACTGCAAAAGAAATTATTCTAAAAGTAAGCTCAGAAAAGGATGGATAAATCAGGTCGTGTGCGAGGTGTAAACGTCGAGAAGTATTTATTTGAGACGTCCTGTTATTTTTTATGATTATTATATTTTTGTTCTAAATTTAAATAAACAACTTACTGTTTTTCCTCCTGCAGTGGAATATACTACAATTAATTTTTGTATATGCCTCTACGCTGCGCTCAGGTTGTTACGAAATAATTATGAACTGAAGAGTATTTTGAAATTTACATAATAATAAAAAAATTTAACCGTATCCGACAATTATGCAGCGACCTTATTCTTTTTCAATATCATCAGTAGCCATTAAGCCTATTTAAAAATATCTGCTTCATACTGTATTGTTTCTAAAAAGGATTTTACTTGCTAAAATCATAGTTTTCACTACATTAATATTTAAGCCGTGAAGATAAAATGTGCAGTGGGAAGACTATAGAATAGAGTATAGATCTTTACATACGAGTTACCTGCTGCCTGCATTTTTATCTCACTCTACATCAACTGCGGTGTCTTTTTGATTTGTGCATTTCAAGGCTCAAGTGAATTAGCCATTAGACTGATTTCACTTGGGCAACTTACAATTATGTAAAACCCACAGGATACTAAAAGTTACGAAGTTACAAGCATTTATCAACTAAAAAAAACACTATTTCTAATATTTTTAACCATTTAAGCGTTATTTTAATTCCGATAATTCTCCAAATCCAGATATGTCCATTTTGTTAAGTATATTATCGTTTTAAGAATAGTAAATATTATACAGGGTGTCTCACATTTAAATAGCAGGACTTCAGGAATCAGTAGAAGACCTCATTTTGAGTCTAAAAGTTCCTATATATATATGGGTCCTAAAACGCTTCGTTTCTGAGATACAGGGCGTCCAATTTTATTTTTGTTTTATTTATTTATTTTTTAACTAAATAACCGCAGACAAAAAAATCATCATGTTGCGGCAAAAGACTTAGTATTTGAGGGCAAATAATTTGACACCGAAAATCATCGCATATTAGTTCCAATGGTGGAGATAGAGGGGTCTCTATGCATATTTTTATATAAAAAAGTATAGCCGATTTGATATTTTGCAAATGTTTTCGAAAAATATGAAAGAGCATTCAATTTTACCCAGAAAAGGCCCTCTTGTCCAAAGTCGATAGGAGGTGGCGTTTTCAAGAAAAACCGAAAATACTG